CCGCCCCAGGGGCAGCGCTCTTCTTAGATAACTTGACGCTGTGTGCATGATGCTGGTGCCTGACCATGAAAGAAAGTCTCATCCTTAAAACGTGTGTTGTACGTCACAATCCTGGACTGTTGCTTAAAGTAAACAATGTACAAATTTTGAAACACTGTGTCCTGTGTCATCTTTCTGAGATTGTTTCAGGAGTTCTACCTGCTTAGTTGCTTTTTTCTTTGTTACTATCAACCTTGTTGCCCAATGATTTGATGAGCCATTAAAGTTAAAACACGCTAACGAAGGCCCAGAGAGAAGTGGGCTTCTCTCTAAAGAAAGCAGCTTTAAAGTCAGAGAGCATGAGTTCAGAATGCCAAAATGAAAATTAATGGCTATCTGATAATAAAATACAGGAATAATATGGATAATTGGTATCCAAAATAATTATTAGCCAATACACTTGACACTCTTTTACCACCTACCCTCCTGTGCTGGGTGATAACATTCAAAATTTCAAGTCCTCTCATGCCTGTGGGGTGTTTCTCAATGGTGGGTGGTCAGAGAAGGCGGCTCCAAAGAAAGGAAGGGTCCACGTAGATAGAAGGGGACAGGGTCATCTGAGTCCTCTCAAGTGATACAGGAGACAGAAGATGGGAGAAAGCTCATTAGGTTCTAGGCAGAAAGTTCCAGATCAACATGCTATATTAAATGTCCAAATTGGGCACTGGAAATCGGCTTTTTAGGTCTAGCTGTGCTACCGACCAGCTATGTTCCTTGGGCTTGTCATTTGGGAGCTCAGTTTCCTAACTTAGAAGTAACACTTTTGAATGAGGTCATCTCTAAAAACCTTCCCATGACTGAAATGACTCAAACCTAGTGTGTAACCACCAGCTATTCTGACTTACTGGGCATGTCTTTGGGAAGAATAAGGGTGACCATAGGTTGTGGAGGTGTTAAGTGTTTCTCCCTTACTGTGTAAAGTATTTGCAAAATGGAGAATCAACAGCTGTGCTACGGTCTTTCCAGGTTCATCAGAACAGGTTAGCCCTACCAATCACCTGAGTTACGGTCTGTCACGACTTCAGAGATAGGGAACCTGCACCCTTCTCTCTCAGTAATGGTGGAGCTTCTGGGCAAGAGAGGTTCCTGATTTGTGTCACAACTTGTAACTTGGCTTCAGTTTTTTATTCTGTGAAGGTAAGTGCCTAGTCTAAAGGTGTTCTGCCAGTCATTCTGGTACTATTACAGATTTTAGAAAATTCTATGTAAACATGTTTGCTAAGCGTGTTGAATTTTCCAGTTAGAAAGCTTAGGGTTTAGAAGATGAAGTTGAATGATCTTAAAATGATGACGATGGCAGAAGAATCAGCATTTTGTTGACAGTGTGAACTCTTTACACATTATGTGTCTCAGGTGGCTTGGTGTTCATTGCTGATGTCCATTCTACCTCTTTAGCATTTTAAACTTAGATCGCCAGGCTCCCCTTCCTTATGCCTCTGTTCCATTGGGTTTAGACGTATTGGGGTGCTGAGGTGGGGAACTACAGGAAGACGGGTCACTTACTCAAATCTGAATCTAGTTTGTAGGTAAATATATTTACATGTAGTCAGAAAATTGCGTGAAATCTACAAAAAGAGTCAAAAAAACTTAGCAATGCTAAGCATTTTCTAGAGGCGGATGGAACTGCCAATTCTAGAGACCTGTCAGTTCCACAAAAAGGATTGTCCTGATTACCTGAGCCTGGTGGGAAAATCGCCTCTTCCAGGTGGAACTGGATGTTTAAAGCAGATGCTCCCATGTTTCAAGCCAACTCTGGTTTATGAATTCGTCTCTGAGGAGCTCTGCTCACACGAACCAGTTGTCTTCAGCCGATTCATTCACTTCAGACCGTTACTGGGAGTCCCCGTGATTCGGGCCTTGGGTTGGTGCTGCCTTGAGGGGGCGGAAGCTCTGCTCTGGTCCCCACAGCAGGGTGCGCAGGTATGCCATCTCAGGTTTAAGGAGGCCTGACTCCTTGTTAGACGACGCTTCCCAGTATTTAGGACAGTCCCTCCTGTCGGGCCCCTGGAAGTTCTGCCCCGAGTAACATTCGGGGTGAGCGAGGACGTCTGCTACAGCGTGGAAGGCTGCTGATGTGCACGTAGGTGCGTCCTCAGACAAGAAAGCAGCCCAAGCCATCGCCACGCCGGCCCCCCCCTCCCCGAAACGGGGCTGCCCATGCAAATCAGCCGCGGTCGGGCCCGCCCACCCCATGGCTCCGGAAGCTGCAGTCCCCTCGCCCAGCTCCGCGCGGCGGCTCCCGGGGCCACGTTTCCGCCGGGCCGCCTGCCTCGCAGCGATGGCGATGCAGATGGCTCCGCGGCGCGGGCGGCCAGTGCGGGTGCTGGTGGACATGGACGGCGTGCTGGCGGATTTCGAGGCCGGCCTCCTGCGGGGCTTCCGCCGAAGCTTCCCCCAGGAGCCGCACGTGCCGCTGCAGGAGCGCCGCGGCTTCCTCGCCTGCGAGCAGTACCGAGCCCTGCGCCCGGACCTGGCGGTAGGGAGTAGGGGGGCGGGGGGTCGGCGGCGCGGGGCCGCCCTGGAGCGGGGAGCCCCGACCCCACAGGGCACCTGGGAGCGGGGAGACCTCCCCTTGGGTCAGGACTGTCTCTGCTCCATGTCCAGTGACACCTTCCTGTTTAAAATTAACAAAGCTCTCTCACTTCAGAATCCACAGTTCACCTCAGGACTAGACAGTCTGGGGGAGCACTTACCCCTGAACACAGTCCTCTACCTGAGACTCTGATCTGGAGACCGAAGCCCCCCAGGAACTTCACTTTGAGAGTCCTCGCTGGGGCTGGAGAGGTCTGCTGGATCAGAGCCAAGACAGGAACACTGTATCTTTCAGGACAAAGTGGCCAGTGTGTATGAAGCCCCAGGCTTTTTTCTAGACTTGGAGCCCATCCCTGGAGCCTTGGAAGCAATGCGGGAGATGAATGACATGCAGGAGTGAGGAAGGGCGGGGAGGGAGGGGGTGGGGAGCAGGGGCTGGCACCACCCTGTCTAACCGCCGCCCCCCCCCCCCCCCCCATGGCCACTGTGTGCACGAGAAGGTGCGGCTGCCCCAGCACTCCACCCACACGCTTAGGCTCCTAAGTCCCGATCTTTTAAAGAAAGCGGCAGAAACAGAGACAGTCGGGGGTGGGGGGGGTGTAGAGGGGAGCCATATCTCTCATGAGCTGCTGTAGACCCTCCCTCACACCTGCTTGCTCACGGGCCCTGAATTCAAGGGCCCATCAGGCCCTACTGACCCACTTATGCCCACCTCACAGTACCGCTGGGTGGAGAAGCACCTGGGGCCCCAGTTTGTGGAGCGCATTATCTTGACGAGGGACAAGACGGTGGTCTTGGGGGACCTGCTCATTGATGACAAGGACACCATTCAAGGTAGGAGCCCTTTTCCCTAGCAACCTCCAGGCATCTAGCCTGCTGGGATTAGGGAGAGGGAGTAAAAATAACCAGATTACAGAGTGTATCCCTGCCTTCCTCCCGTGTCCTGTCCCAGGCCAAGAGGAGACCCCAAGCTGGGAGCACATCTTGTTCACCTGCTGCCACAACCAGCACCTGGCCCTGCCCCCCCAACGGAGACGGCTGCTCTCCTGGAGGGACAACTGGAAGGAGATTATAGACAGCAAGCGGGAAGCTCTGCAGCGGGACCGAACCGGCCTGGGCCCGCCCCAGGAATAAGGCGAGGGGCCATGGCCGTGGACAGTAGCTGAAGGAAGGGAAGGCAGACCAGCAGGGAGCCTGGGCAGAACTGAGTGACAGGGCAGCATCATGGCAATGACCCCTCAGCACTGTGCCAGCCACCTGAACCCTCCTGGCAGAGCTGGCCTGGAAACATGGTGGGAAAATCAGGAAGCTTTTTAATAAAACACTTTGGCTCACTGCTCTCTTACGGCCTTTTATTTGGGGGAAGTGAAGGGACAGGAGCCCCACAGGGGCAGCTGGGACAGAGGCCGATGAGGAGGCCTTCGCCTCCCTCCCTCTCGTCTCCTTAGTCCATTAGTTCCATAGTCTGCCCACCTCCACGTCCACCTGGAAACCATTCCTCTCGAATCTGCCTTTCCTTGGCCATGTAAGAGGTCATCCTTGGGCTTCCCTGGTGGCGCAGTGGTTAAGAATCTGCCTGCCTGCCAGTGCAGGGGACACGGGTTCGATCCCTGGTCCAGGAAGATCACACATGCTGCGGAGCAACTGCGCCACAACTACTGGGCCTGTGCTCTACAGCCTGCGAGCCACAACTACTGAGCCCACGTGCCACAACTACTGAAGCCTGCGCACCCTACAGCCCGTGCTCTGTAACGAGAAGCCACTGCAATGAGAAGCCTGTGCACCCCAATGAAGAGTAGCCCCCGCTCGCTGCAACCAGAGAAAGCCCGTGCACAGCAACAAAGACCCAACGCAGCCAAAAATAAATAAAATTTTAAAAAAGATAAAAAAGAGGTCATCCTTAAGGGAGGCCAGGACCTTCCACTGTTCCTGAACCCCACGTTTCCAAGGGGGCCCACACCCCTTCCCCCGTGCTGAGCAGCTGACACTAGACTCTGAGCCATTCGCTTGCTGTCAGTGTCTAGTCCCATCTCCCTTGAGCACCTCTCTTACTTGCATCCCTGAAGCCAGCCTGAGACAGATTTCCAGGGACAGGGACCACCACCCCCACCCCCGCCCACCTCACTAACCCTGATGGCAGAGAAGGCAGGCCAGGGCTTCCGGGCAGGTACCATGGGGTGGTGAAGGGAAAGGACAACAGCTCGAAGAGTTTGTGCCTGTATTCTAATGTGTCACCCTCATGGCCTCCGTCTTAATGCCTGATGGCCATGTTAACAGTCACTGGGCTGCGACACTCAAGATCAGGAACCACGTCTTCGTCTTTGAAGCCCTAACATGGTGCCTGGCTGATAGGCCTGTGTGGATAAACAGTTAATCAGCCACACAGTTCTCCAGGCCAGCATTCACCATGCGCAACACCCAGCCTGGAGAGCTTGCAGGACAGGTACCCAGCCTCCACAGCAGTGGACACAACACTTCCCCAGCTTCCCAGGGCCCCGAAATACTTTTAACAACAAGGCTTCTCATTTCTATTTCTCAGAATTACTCCCGACACTTCTGTTAAGGTATGATGCCTATTTCCTCAAGCTCAGGCAATTCTCCTAAGCCCCAGGCCCAGCTATTACTCAGGAGAAACACCATCTGCAGAGCCTCTGGGTCTAGGGACCTGCTGCTTCTCACACGAGGGTGACAGCTTGGTGGCGGGGTGGGCCAGGAGGCAGGACCTTCGCCTCTAGCTGGTTGAGAGCGTCCGCCTGTCAAAACGGCACCCTTCAATTTCCTTCTCCACGTATCTCAAAGTCTGGCTTCCTCACTCATCTCCTGGCGCCTTTCATCACAGTGTAAACACCTGTCCCACTGAGAAAACTCGCCTTTAAAGTGGCTAACAAAGCACCATTTGGGGAGAATGTGCACAGTGGGAGCTTTGCTGCTCACACTTCCTGAGTTCCCACTGGGATTTTGGTCTTGTCTCTGGCAGTGCCGGTGCCGCGGCCTGAGGGCTCCTTGGATCAGGGCTGCTGCGGGGCCTCCGTCCTTGGCAGTGGGATCCCCAGGGCAGAGTGAGCCCGCCAGCTGCGGGCTTCGGCCACCTGGCTAGGGGAACAGAAGTCTTCCAGGAAGATCTGGGCCAGGTTCCGGAGCCTCACGTTGGCTGAGAGGGAGAAGCGTACCATGCACTGGACCACGGGCATGGCAGTCAGCTCAGGGTGGGAGTTGGAGCCCGGTGAGCTCAGGTACATGATCGTGGTGACGGCGGACAGCACGGTCTCCTCGTTGGGACTGGACAGGCAGTTGATGATGAGCGGGACACCCCCAGTCTGCAGGATGTGCTCCTTGTTGGCCCTGTCTGAGCACAGGTTGCAGAGGCCTCCTGGGAACGAGCAAGGTGAGTCTGGATGCCTGAGCCCTAGGCCTCCTCCCATCTTTCCTCGGCCCACTAAGTCCCAGGGAAGGCCCAGGCCTGAGAAGGTGGCCCAGGGACAAGGGATCCAAAGTCTATTCTGATCTCCAGCCCTCCCTTTCAAGATTCCAGAAAGGCCTGCCTGCCTGCCCTCCACTGCCCAACCTTCTGGAAGTGGGCACTGATCCCTTTCCCTCCTGGTTCAGCCAGCTCAATGACTGACAGGCTTTCCTTTTTTTTTTTTTTTTAAAGTAGAAAACATAAACAAAACCCACAGTGTATCATCACTTTAGAAGAATTAAGAAATATAGGTAAGGTGATGGTTTCACAGGTGTATACATATGTCAAAACTTATCAAGTTATACTCTTTAAGTATGTAAAGCTTATCATGTGCCAATTATACCTCTATAAAGCTGTCAAAAATATTAGAAGTCAAAATATAAACCATCTTAATCCTACCACCCATTTAACATGTTTTTCATCCCACAATTTTTAAATATGTGACTACATATAAATATTTAATAACAATATGATACCCTTATTGTTTTGTAAGCCAGCTGTTTTCATTTAACCATGTCCTGTGAACATCTCTCCATGCCAATAAATCTACAATCATGGCATCATTTAATAGCTGTGCAGTCCACCATTTTATGGAAACAGCATAATTGTGAGTTTAAAGCATTTCAGCATCATTCCCACATCACTATTCCTAGGAATCTGGGGGACAAAAGGACAGAGTGAGAGACCCGTGGTTCTGGATCTAAGAACCACTGCTCAGGTAAGATGCCCAGACCCCTCATTCTCTCCCGTCAGGCCTAAAGCACTCGATGTGGGAAGCTGATTTTCGTGGGTCCTGAGTGAGCTTCCTGCCATCAGGGCACCCTCACCTTTAGGTTCCTACTCCAAGTAGAGAACGAACTTCTAGCTCATTTGCATAACATGGCCGACCAGTACTGAGTGTCCAATCAGGAGTGAGTTACAGCCCACCCACTTCTCCGGCATCTCTAGAAACAAGCAAAGGGGGGGACCTCCCCACACGCCCGGCAAAACCCAACTAGGACCTCTTTCCCAGCAAGAGGGGGCAGGTGCAGGGAAGTGGGGCAGGCCTGGCAAAGACCTCCGCCTACTCCAGGTAGGTAGAGCCACCCGTTCCCTAGCAGTGCCTGGGTAGGGAAACATTTTACCCATTCAGCCTCCAAGGACTTCCCACTGCATTTGGAATAAAATCCAAACTCCCTTCTGGGATCTTTGCATGGTGCCACCCTCTCGCTAGTTCACCAGCACATCACTGCTCCGTGGCCAGTGTGGTTTCCCTGGAGTACCCCATTAGCCACTGCCTGCCACACCCAGGCACGTCCCTCATCACCTGCCTCACTGTCCTCATATGCTTAGAACTCTGAGAAACCTTCATGGGATCTTCTTGCTCACTGACCGCTGAGGCCCGCTAGAAGCTACTGTGCCATGAGGTCAACACCTAGGCTGTCTTGGGATTTCCCTGGTGGTCCCGTGGTTAAGACTCCATGTTCCCAATGCAGGGGGCCTGAGTTTGATGCCTGGTCAGGGAACTAGATCCCACATGCTGCAACTAAGAGCCCACACACCGTAACTAAAGATCCCTCACGTGAAAACGAAGAGCCCCCGTGCCGCAAGCCTAATTAATTAATTAATTTAAAAAAAAAAGGCCTAGGCTGTCTTATTCCCAAGACTTCCTGGGTTTCTGGCACAGGGGGCGCTCTGCAAATGTTTGCTGGAAGGATTTTAAAGCAGTGAGCAGGGAAAAGGGCTGCACTGCAGAGGGTCGGGAGGCTGGATGGAATGGCTCCCTGGGACCCTGTGCACCTTGGACATCTGCAGTTCTGAGGGACGGAAGAGGCCGAATGGTGCTCCTGAACCGAGGCAGATGGGCAGTAGGAGACGGACTCCAGGCACTGATGGAGAGGTCCCTCCCAGTGTCTACCTCAGCACCCATTCACCTCAGTGGAGCCCTTAGCACAACCTGGGGTCATCCTGCTGACTACCTTCTTTACTTGCTGTCTGTCCCCCCATCACTGGGCACCACAGGGCAGTGATTTACCTCTGTATTTCCGGAGCCTGCAACTGAGGATTCTTGCTGGACACATACTGGGAACATGACTGAACCCCACGAAGAGTTACCACTACCCCCATTTAAGGGAAAGAACCTGAGGCTGTTGAGTAGCTTGACCAAAGTCCCAGAAGATGGGGAGCCCTCTGCTACTCCCGTGGGAAAGGGTGTCCCTTCAGAAACCACAAGGACAACTAATCCTACCATGGGCAGATGCCAGGCTCAGCCAGGAGCAGGGACAAGTAGAAATGCTGTGGCACAACTACTGAGCCCACGTGCCACAACTAGTGAAGCCCGCGTGCCTAGAGCCCGTGCTCCGCAACAAGAGAAGCCACTGCAATGAGAAGCCCGCGCACTACAACAAAGAGTAGCCCCCGCTCACCACAACGAGAGAAAGCCCACGCGCAGCAAGGAAGACCCAATGCAGCCATAAATAAATAAATAAATACAAAAAAGATGTCACCTCTTCTAAGAGCCTTTCACAACCACCCTAATCAGTCCCTCTCCCCAAGAGACCCTCCCCTCACCACCTTCACTTCTTTTCTTCATACCAAAGAAGAAAAAAAGAAAAAGTAAAAAAGCAAAAGAAGAAAATATTCATAGATTCTGACAGAGGACTCATATCCAGAATATATAAAGCATTCCTACCTATCAATAAAAGATGAACAACACAATAAAAACAATGAGCAAAAGACTTCGATAAACTCTGCACAAAAGGGTCAATATATGAAAATGTGCTCAACATTCCTGATCAGAGAAATGAAAATTAAAACCACAATAAGAGGCCACTACACACCTATCATAATGGCTAAAACAAAAAAAGACTGATGATACTAAGTGTTGGCGGGGAGGGAACACCACTGGAAGTCTCATATGCTGGCGGTGAGGAGTGTAACACATCGTGATTACGGTGGAAAGCTATTTGGCAGCTTCTAACACAGTTAAACATACATCTACCCTACGACTCAGCAATTCCACTCCTACCCAAATCTGTCTGAGAAAAATGAGCACATATGTATACAAGGAATCGACCCGAGAGAAATGAGTACCTATGTATACAAGAAAACTTGTACAAAAGTTATCACAACAGCTTTATTCATAAAGGTTCCAAACTAGAAACAGCTCAAATCTCCATCAGTGGGTGAATGGATGAACAAATTGCGGCCTATTCATATAAAGACATGGACTACTGATACTGTAACAATTTGGATGAATCTCAGAAACATTATACTGAGTGAAAGAAACCAGATACTATTTCCTGTAGGATTCCTTTCACATGAAGGTCAAGAACAGGCGAAACTGATCCACGGGGATAGAGGTTAGAATAATGGTTACCTCACGGTGGAAGCCACTAACTGGCAGTGGGTACGAGGGACCTTTTTGGGGAGATGGAAACATTCTGTATCTTGACTTAAGTGCTGGTTATGTTGATGTACAGAGACCTTAATGCATTTAGGAATTCATCAGACTGGCACTTAAGCCACGTGCGCTTCACCGTCTGCCGATCCTGCTGCGAATCTAAACACTGTGGCTACCAGACGAAAGAGAGAACAAGCTCTGACTGGCGGATGAACGTACTTCGGACAAAGCTGGCGACACAGAGAGAACGAGCAAGAGGCGAAGGCAGGGCCCTTCCAGGCGTGCAGAGCCACAGGAACCCCCGCGAGAGACAAAAGAGAAAACCCTAGTGCAGTCTGGGATGAGAAAGCTGGCGGCTCAGAGAGGGCAGGGAGGGAGGGGATCTCAGGTCACAGAGCAAGGAGGGCATTGGTGCCGGAAGGGACAGGAGGGTCTAAGTATCGTCCTGGGGATTAAATGAGGTCATGCTGACAAGTGCTTAGCCAGCACCTGGTGCCTGAGAGGGCTGGGTAAGTCCTTGGAGACAGTGGTTCAAGACGTTACAGCTGAGGACCCGCCCGCCCCAGGGTGCTGGGCTGGCCGTGGTCAATCCCAGGTCAAAATCTTCACTGGGGGCTATATCTGTTCTTGGGTTTTACTTCAGTATCTTCAAGATGGTTCTCTCTGAAATTTCAGGACAGACATTCAAGGGACAGAACAGTATACAGAGAAAGCTACTATTATATGTAAGAAGGTAGACAAATATACATATATGTATATGCTCACATTTGCTGGTTTCATATGAGGGGGAACAGGGTGGAAGGGACAGGAATGGTAGTGAGACCATACTGGTAATACAGTTTTGACTTAAACAGATATGTTTTGTATAAGTTAAAAAAACCAAATTAAATTTTAAAAAATCATGGCTTTTCGCACTTCTGACCTATATTTCAGTTCTAAAATTTTATCCTACAGGTACACTCCCACAAGTGAGAAATGACATACAAATAAGGGTACCCACTGTCACACTGCTCACGAGAGCAAAATGGAAACAACCCTAAATGGCCATCCTCAGGGGCTGGCTAAATGTTAGTCCCTTCACGCAGTGGACATCACGCAGCAGTTACAAAGAATCAGGCAGCTCTTTATGGGCTGATACTGCAGGTGTGCCAAGACATGGCGCTAAGTTAAAAAAAAAAAACAACAAAAAAAGGCAGAATATAGATACAGTATACTACAACACATGTAGGATATGCAAAAAGGTATACATAGTATACAAACAAATATACGTATTTGTTTATCAATCCCTAAAATATCTCTGGGAGAATACACAAGAAACTAGTAACAGTGGTTGCCTCCAGAAAAGGCTACAGACCGAGTTACTCTTTATTACCTACCATTTTGAATTCTGTACCATGTGAGTCAATTATGTATTCTCATAAATTAATAAAACACACACGCACACCCTGCTTCTGCCTAGAACTGAGAGGAAGGGGGGTTGGTCTCTGCCAGTCGGGGAGGGAGGGCGCAGGGGCCTGGAGCCAGCCTT